AAAAAAAAAAAGTGAGAAGCTTAGGGTAGTGCATATCAAGGCATATTCTGCAGTTGTAATGATTAACTTAGTCAAAATTATTGGCATAAAATACAAAAGTAGAACAATTGTAGGGAACAGAGAGCCTAGAAAGAAATCAGCATAAATGGATTGCATGGACAGAGGTGACGCTGCATATGCAATGTGCAAAAGAAACTGCATGTGATAAGCAATGTTGGCACAGTTGTTATTTGATTAGAAATAAAAGACATTACATCTCTAATTCATTTTAGATTTAAAAATCCAGATAGCTCAAAAATTTTGCAAAAATGCTAAATCTTTTTTTCCTAAGAACTTTTTATTCCTTCATTAATTTTATTGGTACGTTTTAGGTATATAATATAATGACATTTATCTTTGGAAATTCATACCTTTGCATAATATATCTTGGTTCTTATTTTTTTCCCCATTTCCCTGCCCTCCCTTCAGGAAAAAAGATCCAAAGAGGAAGAGCAAGTGGGAGGGGTTGGGGAAAGAGAAGAAGTCAAAATTTTAAACATGTAGAAGAAATTGTAAGAAAAATGTTTTATGCGTCTGGAGCATGAGTGAATTTACTTAAAGAGAATCGAGTTCCCCTTAGTCTTCAGAAATTACTCAATGGTCTGTGGAACTGCTTTTCAGAGAGTTTTTTCAAGCCCTCATCCTGGCGCCTACCTTCTATTTTACTGGGAATCCTCTGCTTTGGTCTATTTGTCGGTGTTACAGGGATGATAGTGGTATATCTCTCCATGTCTAGAGGTAAGTGACAGAAAGGTATTGGTTTATGTATGATTTAGGATTAGGGGTGCTTCAATGCATACCTTGGGTCTATTTGTCCAGTTTCAGGCATCACGGGCTCATGGACTCATCACCTGAGCCTTTGGGACCACATTACTCAATCTCCAGAGTGGCCAACAATAGCTATTTAGAAAAATTCCAGGCCCTGTTAGGCCCCTCCTACTTTACATTTAGGGCTCTTAATGAAGAGATGGATGATTTCCAGTACATATAGAGCTCATGTAAATATCTAAGAATAACAACAAGATACTAATAAAAAAGTTTAAATATTGTTAAAAACACTTCATAAAAGGGAAATAAAAGACTGACAATTAGATAAAGTAATATTGTTTCAGATAAAATAATAAGAATTTAAACCTTAAGAACTAATTTTCCCCTCCTAGAGATGACACTGCCCCTTGATGATATCAGAATCCTACCTCCCTCTCCAAGCTGCCTTGTTTTACCCCAGATAGAGAAACTCAGGACAGGGATTGGGGGTGGTAAAGCCTCAATAAGAGAGTCATAGGGAAGTCCCTGCTCTTCAGCTCACAGATCATCCACCTGAGTAAGGAACCAGGTCTGTGATTGTACCGCACATGTACTTAGCTCAAATACTAAATGCTCTGCTTTTGTTTCAGGGAGAATCTCAGCAGAACTGGGTAAGTGTCTTGTCAGATTCTGAGCATTCCACACATTTCTTCTGGTCCCTTCCTGTTCTACGATGTGAGCCACCTGTGTGTTACCTTGGCTGCTGACTGGATAGGAGTCAGGGCAGAAATTGATTTTCTTCCCTCATCCATTAACTAATGAATTGATCCTAAGATAGATGAGAGGTTTAGGATGAGCTTCGGAGTCTGGAAACTTCTAAATTCTTCTGAAAAATCTGTCTCTTGATATGTTTTTGTGGAGCAAAACTCTATAGACTCCAGAGCTCTCTAAGAGTGTCAGAACCCAGAATGGTGAGGAAACTGGGAATTTCCCTCAATTTCACCCTGATCCTTTGTCTTGCCCCAATGCTTAGATCCTTTATCCAGACCTGTCAGAGCCACTGAATATTCTGATTTTTGTGTTATGGAAATTTCAGGAAAAAATGAAAAAAAAATGTTATCACATGTAGAGTTCCCTTGTTTTCCCCTCGACTAATGTTCTGTGATTTCAGTCTCTTGTGTGTGTGTGTGTTTCTTTTTGGTTTCAGACTGGAGAAGGAAACATGGGACAGCAGGTGAGGGAAGCCATTCCTCTCTTCTTAACCCCATTACCTCTTCCTTACAAGTCTCTAGTTTATGGAATCTTATAATCTGCAGCCCATGGGATCCTGAAGAGACAAGCTTGCTATGAATGACTCTGAAATTTTCTACAGTTATGTGGGTGGGTGTATTTTGCAGGAATTCCTCTATAGCTTTCATGAGATTTCCCTCCTTTTCTCTCTCCTCTTCCTGCCTCCTGTTCTCTATGTGAGCACTAACATGATCCTTGTACTTGCTTCTTTTCAGAGTGGAGAGAAGCCCGGAAACATGCAGGTATCAGCGCATGAGGGAGAGGGATGAGGAGGGGCCATGGCCAAGAATAGATATAGAGCTACTTCAGCCTGAAGACAGTATCTCTTGGATCTACCTCAGGATGCAGCCTATGAAGGGGTAGGGAAAGGAATGGGTCACCCAAGCTGGAGGTCACAAGCAGCAATTTGAGGGTACTAATGTTTGGCCTGAAGCTGAATAGTGGCCCAGTAAAAGAAAGGCCTACATAGAGAAATGGCAGTAGGATTTGGAAGATGTACATGAGTCATCAACTCACTGTGGGGATCTCCAGGCATTAATGAAGCTGAGGTGCTGCCCTGAAGAACAGGGGAAGAATAGAGAGGCAATGCTCAATGGGGACTCTGGCTCTGTTCCTTCCCCTAGACCCACAGTGACCAAGTCTGCATCGGTAGGAAGTGACTGCTAGGCCCAGTCCAGGTCTCCTACCCACTAACTCATGTTGTCTCCCTTGCCATACCACAGTGGAGGTGACTCTGGACCCAGACACGGCTCATCCACAGCTCTACGTTTCTGATCTGAAATCTGTAATATTTAAGGAAGCTCCTCAGGATGTGTCCTACACAGAGAAGAGATTTAAGAGAAAGTGTGTGGTGGCTTCTCAGGGTTTCCAGACAGGGCAGCATTACTGGGAAGTAGATGTGGGACACAATGAAAGTTGGTGCTTGGGCGTGTGCCAGGATAATGTGCACAGGTGGGAGGAAGATTTGGATTTGTCTCCCATAAGGGGGTACTGGGTTCTTCGACGGAGAGAAGAACATGACTACTTCACATTAGATCCCCATAGAGTTACCGTTGTTCCTGGAATCCATCCTACAAGAGTGGGTGTCTTCCTAGACTGTGAACGTAGGATCATTTCTTTCTTCAGTGTAAATGATCAGTCCCTCATTTATACCATGGATTATCCATTAGAAGGCACATTGAGGCCCTATATCTTGCCTCAAACCTATAAAGAGAATGAGCTGACTCCCATATTCATCCCCTCTTTGTCTCAGGAATGATAGAGAAGTCCTTTCCTAAAAGCACCAGTCCCACCCATAGACACAAAGGAACTCCCAGAAGGTGACTGAACTCTTCCTCTTCAGGAGCAATGCCCAGAGGGAATAATGGACCACACTTTCCTTTAGGCTACAATAGTTACTTTCCTGGCCCCAGAACCTTGCAGCTGTCAGAAGTGATGGCTTCCAGATGAGAAGAGGTAGACTCATTCATGTAGAATTGAGGTGGAGGGTGGAGAAGGTTCACACTGTATTTCATTTGAACAACTGCATCGAGCTAAGTCACACTCTCTCAGACTCCCCACTTGTCAGTCAAGAACAGTAACCATTTCAGCTGTCATTATGAAGAGTGAAAAGATAATGAAAATGAATCATGTTTACATAAATGGCACAGGAGTAATTCGTTCATTGTATTGCACTTTCCCCAACATGATCTTCGTTTATTTATCCTGCATTACTTCTTTTTCCCGTATTCCAAAACACCTTCTACATGTTAGGCTCAAAGTATTAAAGTGAATTTTCAATTGAATGTATAAAATTAGCATTAAAATGAGAAGTCCATGTCACTATTGAATATAGACCCTGTGTCAGCTACTTTTCCCTTGTTACTGAGACAAAATACCTGGCACCCAAAGTTAAAGGGAAAAAAGGTTTATTTAGCTTATAGTTTGTTGAGTTTTCAGTACATAATTGGCTGGCTCCAAGGCATTGCAGAAGAGTAACAACACAGTACACACAAAGTAGCAAAGGCAGCAAGAGCCCTTAACAGCAACTTTCTGCCCCTTTTATCTTATTCAGACTTAGGTCAGATAGCACTCAAACCCTTATTCATAGTGCCCTCAGGCCTACCCCCACCGTGAAGAAATCACATATTCTAGATTCAGCCACATCTGAGAAAGTATGAGGCTTTGGGTGGACATCTAAACACAATCCACAACAGATGCAAAACTTCTAAAGAAAATTTTAGCAAATCCAGTCCAATAATATATCCAAAGGATAATATATAACTATTAAGTTTGATGATCTGAGGAAGTCAAGGTTGGTAATTTTCAAAGATCAAGCATTGTAGGTCAATGCATTAGCAAACTAAAAGGAAGACCATCCGAAAAAATGTGGAGGAAAAAGGAAAGATCATCTGAGCAAATGTGGGGGCAAAAAGCTTAGGAAATTTAACATTATTATTGATACAATCTGTCATTAAAAAGACACATAAATGAATTGGAAAGCACATGAAAATATTCAGTCCCATTAGATGTTAACAACATACAAATTAAAAGTCCTAGGAGGTACTATTGCCACCATTTATTTTGGCTAAAATAAAAAAGACTGAGCATAACAAGTTTTGGTGAGAACACAGGACTGAATCTCTTTTGTACTGCTGATAGGAATATAAAATAGTACACTCTCTTTGGCAAACACTGTAGTTTTCCTTTAAAATTTATGCAGGCATTTTCCATGTGATCCTGTCATTGCATTTTAAGTATTTATCCAAGAGCAAAACAATGCATGATCATAGCAGTTTTATCTGTATAGCCAAGAAATAGAAACATCAGCAGGTGAATGAATAAACAAATTGTGGAGCATCCATGAAATGTGACACTACTCAACAATAAAAGGAAAAGAATATTGATATGCACTAATATAGTTGAATCTCAAAATAATTTTTCCAAGTGAAAGAAGCCAGATCCCCCGCCCCCAAAAGACAGTATATATTGGGTGATATCATTTGCATAAATTCTAGAAAATAAAAGGAAATCTATAGGGACAGCAAAGAGATCGTTGTTTGGAGGAGAGAGCAGTGTAGCAGGGAGTACAAACAAACATGAGGATATTTTTGGAGGTATGGATATGTTCATGAATTTGTAATGATAGTTCATGGATATGTACTTAAATCAAAACTTATCAAGTTAAATGCTTTAAATATAGTTAGTTTATTCTTATGTCAATTGTGCCTCAATGAAGCTGCTTTAAAAAATAAATTGCCAGAGCCCACAATATTGATTATGCCCCAAACATGCTTTAGTAGTGCAGTCTACAAAGAGTTAAATCCCTCATTTGGCTTACTTTAAGAAGCGAGTCTAATGCAAGCTACATGACTCACAGAAGTATCTCATGAGCAATACGGTAGAGTGCAGGTTAGCATAACCTCCCTGCTAACGGCCACAGCTGAGACGAGAGTAACGGCCCATGAAGCTGTGGCTGAGGTCGGAGTAATCACACCCAAATTCCATTCCCACAATTAGTATTGATAGCTTGAAGGACAATACTCTAATTACAACCATATATTTTGTCTATTCTGTTCCTAATTTGAAAATCTTTTGACTTCTCTTTAAAGCCTTGCCTGCATTAGTTTCCATGGTAATTTCACATACTGCATATATTGCACCTTTACCCTGATCGATGAATAATAAAATTTGGTGGAAGAGATGGGTCAGTGCCTTTTGCCAAAGGAGCATTGGCCATCCCATTTCACACTTTCTCTTTAACTCTGTCTTAATTTTTCTTCAACCCTGTGTTGTGCACTGGGCAGGTGGGGATGAGAGACTTGCTGCAGGAGTCTCTGGCAGTAAAAGCAACAAAAGGAGGAAATGTTAGGTTATTGTGATACAATTTCCTAAACGTCATCCTCTGGATAGCATGTTCACTTTATTGTTTTAAGAGACTTCATTTTTCAAGTAAATCTTAGTTTCACTGCAAAATTAAGCACAAAGTACAGAGTTCTCATTTATCCTTTGCCCTCAACCCATCAACTTTCTGCTTGAAAGTAATACTCTGGTTTCATCAAAAAAAACTTATTGACACATTGTTATCCCCAAAGTTTATATTCCATTAGAGTTCACCCTTGGTTTTATACATTCTATGGGCTTGCACAAGTGCATAGTGACATGTATCCACTATTAAAATATCATCCACAATGGTTTACTTCCTGAAAAAATCCTCTGTGTTCTGTCTTTTCATCCTTCCCACTCCTCAAATGCTGGAAATCACTAATCCATTCCCTGACCCTTTCCAGGGTGTCAAATATTTGGACCACCTAGTAGAAAGTCTTTTCAAATTGGCTTCTTTCACATAGTATATGCACAGGCACATTTTCTTTTATAAGAATAAGGATTTTTCATATCCTTATTCTGGATAACATATTATCTACTTAATGATTTTTATTTCAAGTCCAAGTCTGTGAACACCTGGGTACTGAGTTGTGGATATTTTCAAGAGGAAAGAAGGATGTACTCCTTAATGCAGCATCTCAAGAGGGCTCTGCATTGCAGGAGGTGGCCACCTCACCAACTGTAACTATTAAAAGCTCTTATGTCTCAGCCCTTGGAAGTTCCAGGACAGCTGGGAGTGAAAATCCAAAGCTTTTTACAAAGCACTGTCTGTCCTAGTGCTGTAAGAGTATGTCTAAAAGAAGAACAATGGAATACTATTCAGTATTAAAAATGAAAAAGTAACACTCATCCATTAAACAGTTTAAATAAGTCTTAAGGGCATTTTATTGAGCTAATCCCAAAAGTTACATGCCACATGAACCCATTTAAATGACATTCTGAAAGTGATATAATTATAAAAGAGGAGAGATATAAGGAGCTGCCCAAAGATGAGAAAGGAAGGCTGTAAGGTATGATTGTAAAGGGATAGCACACAGGTCTTTCATTGTTCAGTAACTTTGATGATATGTATATGAATAAGTACATCTAAAAATTGCATAAGACTACACACACAACTGAGCACATGAAAAAACTGGTGAGACATATACTAAGACAGTAAGTACACCAGCGTCAACTTGATGGTTTTGATATGCTACTGTAATTATGTAAGGTGGGGCTGGGGATTTAGCTCAGTGGTTACACTGCTTGCCTTGATAAGTGCAAGGGCTGGAGTTCAATCCCCAGTACCCAAAAACAAAAAATAACAACTATAATTATGTAAGGTGTTATTTATGGAACAAGATTGATACTCAAGACTGTATACAGTCACATCAACTTCCTGGGAGTCTACAATTACTTCAAAGTAAAAAAATACTTTTTAATAAATCAGGCTTAAATCTATAATGATGTACAATGAAAAGTTTAATTTAAAAAATGAAAGTTGGTCTGAAGGTTGTGGGTTATTGTAAAACCAAATAAACAATTTAAAAAATGAAATCCTGATTATTGCAGTCCATTGTACACGGCAATAGAAAAAATAAAATTTTAAATAGAGTTTCACAGGGCCAGGGATTTGGCTCAGTGTTTCCACCACCTGCCTCACAAGAGCAAGGGCTCCAAGTTCCATCTCCAGTATTAAAAAAAAAAAAAATCAGAAATCCAACAAGTAGTAGTTTGCACAAAACAATAATGAACGAAAGACTTTTAAAATTCCATGTGACTTCATATATAACAATTGGGCTGGGGATTTAGCTCAGTGGTGCTGCACCTGCCTTGCAAGTGCAAGGTCCTGAGTTTGATCCCCAGTATCAAAACAAAAAAAAAAGAGGACAGAGGATTTAGCTCACTGGCATGGCACCTACTTCACGAGCACAAGGCTCTGAGTTCAATCCCTGGTACCAAAAAACAACAAAAATAGAACAATTATCTTCATGGTATTTTTTTGTACCAGGATTCGAACTCAGGTTCTTGCACTTGTGAGGAAGGCTCCAGAACCACTGTGCTAAATCCCTGGCCCCATGGAATCTTAACTATAGGCTGTCATCCACTGTGTTATTCTGTCAGTAAAAATTAAAATCATGAATAAAAATCTATCAAAGATAAATAATGCTGGACACTATTTAAGAATAAGATAGACTTTATTCAGTAACAAAGATCACAAAAGAGTGTAGTAGGCAGTCACAGAGCTGATGAAAGGATTGGATAAAAGGAAATAAAATGGGTCACCCAGGTTAAGAGCTAATTTAAGTAACTGTTTAATCAAGCAACTGGTTAATTAATCAGTGGGTTAATCTTAGAAATGTAAAAGAAAACACAAGAACACAGGATAAAGGGCCAGGAAGAGAAAAGAGTGATAATGAAACTTCCTTCCAGAAAGAAGACTTATCCAGGACAAGCTAACAGCTTTGACATTCCTTGTCTACCTCTAGACCTGGACTTTAAGGTACCACATAATATGATTAGTTTCTTATAAACTCTGCCCCTTTGAAGCAAGCCGCTCCCCAACCCACACACTCACTCTATTTCTATAAGGCTGAGACAAAAGAGCAGGACTGGACTTCTTCCTCTCTTGGTTTGTTATCAACTAAGTTTTTTTCTTACTATTATTTGAAATACATACTCTCCTAAATTCTTCTCTTTGTCCTCAAATTTATTCTTCAATTTTGGGAGAGAAAGAACTCAGCATTATATAAAACTAACTGCTTCAGTGGGAGACTTTGCATGAAATGAGCTCAACTTCCATTGGTGTGAAGGTGGTGGAGCATAGTAAATGAAGGCTACAGGAGCAGGACAAGAAAACGACAAAGTGGAAGCAAAATCAGTTAGTAGACATGTATAAAAAGTGGGGTAGGACCCAGGACTGAGCTCAGTGGCACTAGTACGTGCCTTGCATATGCAAGATCCTGAGTTGTATTCCTGGTGCCAAAAGAAGTGAGACAGTGAGGCAGAAGATTCAGGTGTGGCCAGCTGACTGGGCAAATGGCCGTGACCTGTCCATCACGGAGATCCAGGATATATGCACCAAGCCTTGCACACAGGGCCAATCAGAAAATGCTATCTTCAATTCTTTTGTTTTCTTCATTGAGTTTTTTTTGTTTGTTTGTTTGTTTTGTTTTCTTGGTACACAGGGATCGAACTCGGGTCCTTGTGCTTGCAAGGCAGGCCACCGAACCGCTGAGCTAAATCCCTTTGTTTGTTTGTTTTGTTTTCTTGGTACACAGGGATCGAACTCGGGTCCTTGCGCTTGCAAGGCAGGCCACCGAACCGCTGAGCTAAATCCCCGGCCCTCTTCATTGAGTTTATTGGTACTTTTTAGGTATACGGTACAGTTACACTCATCATTGGGATCTTGTACCTTTACATGACAGGTATTGGTTCTCATTTTTCCCCTTGTCCCTGCCCTCCCTTCATCTCCTCCTCCCCTCCCCATTTACAAACATTTTATTTCCATTTTTTCATTTTCTCCTATTATCTTCAATTCTTCTGGCACAAGATCAAGCAGGTTTCTGATAAGATGGCCTACACCTGACATTAGCATGAGGCATGAAAGATACAGTAGATGGACACTGTGCTCTCTTTCTCAAGGGCCCATTCTCACTCCTTTCCTGCCTTTAATTTGCCTGCATCCATGCTGTAGAGCATGCTTGTTTTTTATGGTTTTTTTTGGGTTTTTTTTACTATCTTTAATAAATGTAAAACCTCACTATCTTTTGCAGGTGTCTCACCCAATTCTTTGTTCAGGAGAAAAATTATCTGTAGAAAATCCTGGAAAGAGTTCACAGTACCCCCAGAACCCTGGTAATACACTGTTTAACTTTTTATTTCCTCTCTCTCCCCTAGAAAAGCTCCATTCCACTTCTTGTCCCTTCTCTCCCACTCAAACTTTCATCTATCAGAAAACTCAAATCCTTTAACTTTTTTTCTGATATTAGTTCTCAGGAGAGTCAGGAACTACAGGGTGAGAAAAATTAACGGAAGTGGGGAACACAGAATGTTTTTCTCATAACTCTGAGAACAGTTTCCTAGTGTGGGTTATACCCTGGCCTTTTAGTTTACAATTGCTGGTTGTAGTCCCAAGCATTCTGCTCTTCTCTTTAAGCAACATACTGGGCCACAGGATAAGGAGAGTGCTAAGGGAAGAAAGAACAAAAAGCCTTACAAGGCACTGGTGCCGTTCACTTCACCAGAGACATCGCATAGTACATTTGAGTTTCACCGGGGATGCCCTGGGAACTGAAAGGATCTGTAACCTTTTGTGGGGCCTCTAAAGTGTATCAGACCCGGTCTTCTCTTTTTCTCCATAGGACCCACAATGTGCCATGGCAAATGCCCTGCAGATCACAGGAACTTTACCATTAGGCTGTATCCTTAAAACTTGGAAACAGTTTGATCCCTGCAATCTGAATAAAGAACAACTTATCTTCTATTGCAGTACTGTTTGGGACGAGTATGACTAGAAAATGATTAGAGATGGGTATTGAATGGCAGTCTAAATTGCAATCTATTCTTCAATTAGGTCTTTTTGGCAAAAGTCAAGTAAAGTTGTGCGAAATACCCTGCGTTCAGGCTTCTGTGGCTCTTTATCTCTGAAAAGACCCCAGTCTCCTGCAAGGAAGAGGGAACTGTTATCATTGACAACCCTGTCCTCAAATGCCCACCTGTTCCTCAGGGGTATATGAGTTTCTCCTACATGTTAAATGAAAATAACTACACTGGATAGTCTCCTTGACCTCCTTTTTATAATCCTCAGGCCAGTAATCAATTCCATTCTCTTCAAGTGGTTCAGAAGCTACATCAGATGCTAGGTGCTCCAAGACAGCCAGTATTTCCCAGCCCTCTCCTCATGCTCCTGAGACAGCTTTTAGTCCTGCAGTACATATTCACAGTGGAGTTGCTTACTCTTCAAATTCACAACTCATCCTGCCCCTAAGAGAGGTCCTAGGAACAGATAGTATGACTTATTTTTCAGTGGTAGATATCCAACAATGCACAGAACAGTTAAGCCAATTTTCAGAAGATCCTGATAGGTTTATAGATGGGCTCCCAGACTCCCAAGAACCAATTGCTGAACACGGCCTTTTCTGAATTCAGAAATTGGGATCTAGATAAGGGTTAAAGAACATGAGGGAGAGAGAGAGAGAGAGAGAGAGAGAGAGAGAGAGACAGAGAGAGAGAGAGAGACAGAGAGAGAGAGAGGCAGAGAGAGAGGGAGAAAAGACAGGCTAAAATTATGGCTGTCACAATTGGCAATATTGTACACACACCAAAGTCATCCAAGGGAAAACCCAAGGCCAATCAGGGAGAGTTTCTGCTTTAAATGCAAGAAAACAGAACACTGGTCATGCAGCTGTACGAAGACCCACCCACCCAGCCCTGCTCCACATGTCAGGTGACTGAAGTCCTGACTCACAGCACTGGGGGATGACTATCCCCACTCCCAGGAAGGGACTAGACCAGCCAAAACCCTCACCTCCCACTCTGATGAAGAGGAATGAAGGGATCCCGGGCAACCTGCAATGCCCTGTCCTTAGACTTCTCCATTTTCTGTGGGGAACCCTGGAAGACCCTAGATTTCATGGGTAAGCTGATGAAGTTGCTGGCTGATACAGGGGCAGCTTACTCTGTTTTAATTTCTTTCTCTGGAAAACCCTTCTCTAGATCTATAGACAGAACTGGGATCGAGGAGGCCCCTAGTCAGAAATTTTTTAGACCTACTCTGACGTGTCAATTTGAAGTTCAAATGTTCAGCAAGACCTGTCATGTGAAGGTACAGGATCCTAGTAATGAATGTAACTGTACTGTAGACCTAGATTGTACCAATAAACTCAATAAAAAAGAAAAAAAAAGAGTAAGAGAGCTGGGGATTTAGCTCAGTTGTTCCACCATCTGCCTCACAAGCACAATTACCCAAGTTTTATACCTGGTACCAAAAAAAAAAAAAAAAAAAAAAAAAAAAAAAAAAAAAAAAAAAAAGAAAGAAACAAGAGTAAGAAAAAGGCATCTTTTAAATCTAGCACAGTATATAGTTAGTGCTCAGAAGACAGCAAACTGAGGAGGTTATATGGATTGGGAACAGTAGGTTGCAAAATTACCACTTACCATCGACTTCTCTAAAATCCGGGAGTGGTTTGTAATCTGACATCCCTGGTTTCTGTACTGGCAAGAATGGGGTGTTCCATGGAGACTGACAGGAAGCTGATATCCCAAAGTCTAGCAACCTCTTGATGTGAGGGGCTATCCCCTATCTGGCTTTCTGAGAGATAGGGTATTATCTAACCCACACAGGTGTGGCAGTTGACAAGAGCTCAGCCATCACTGGGGGGTGATAGGAAGCCAAACCCAGTAGATTAGTTTCGTCCCACACCTTAGGGAACTCTGCCTGAAATCTTTCCAATAGACCCTCAGGGCTTGTTCCCTCTGGGTTCTCTTACTCCAAGAGGAGATATTCCTGAGACAGAGCAGTGGTTAAGGACAGTTGGTTTGAAGGGAGTGAAATCTGAGGCTCTGTCGGAGTGAAGGAGATAGTAGCCCTCAGCTTATAAAGGAGGTGGCATTTCAACAAGGGGAATGGGAAGGCAGGTATCACCCAAGAGAGTAACTTGGTTTGGTCCCAAGCTTACTGTTCATTTGCCTGTGAGCAGGCAGTTCTGAACTGCTGTCATGGCCCCCCGGATGGGAATAGTTTGTGAGAAAAGCTTGCGGTGGGAGGGGGAACATTGACCTCTCGGCTCCAGTGTCCAACAGGAAGTGAACCAGTTCACCCTCTATTCCAGCATTCACTATGGGCTCCCAGGGGCCAAGAGAGAAGGAGCCCTGGCCCCTTAGTCTGAATTTTCCCTTTCTCCAGATGTGGGTAGGAGCAGTACCTTGGCAGAGGGTCTATGGGTGCATTCATTGTTCCAGTGCCCTTTCTCCTTGCAGTAGCCACATTGATTTCTGCCCAGTGTCAGACGTCCTGGTTTTCTGGGTACCTGCCCTGTAGCTTCCTGGAGTTGTGTCCTGTGGGGTCGGTGGCTGCTGCCTAGATCTTTCCTGTTTCTTGGCCAATCTTTCTGCCCTAGTGTTTCTCTGAGTCTTGGTTGTCCAAGACTTTCTGAGCCACTTCGAACAGCCAGGACATATTCATTCCCAGGAGCCATAATAACTTTTGTAGCTTTTTTTCTAGTGTCAGGGGCAGACTGGATCACAAAAGACATTCTCTTGAGCATTCTCAAGAGCAGAGTGGTTAAATGGGGTGTAAACCCAAAAGACTTCCTGACTTCCTGAAGTCACTCTTAAGAAGTTTGCAGGAGATTCTTCCGGTCCTTGAATCATACATATACCGCAAATTGGCAAGTCCCCAGTCCTCCTCCATCCAGAGGGCAGGAGATCCTCTGGGCTGCATTGTTCCAATGTGATGACTTCCTGGCAAGATCAGAGTCATTCCTGCATTGGGGGAGAGGCAATAGGAATGGTAAAGGAAGAGATGGAAGGGCTGGAGGCAGGCAAATCTGGATCAGTGGGACTAAGATGGTTATATGGGAGTGAAAGAAGGAGGACGGACTTTCTTGTTATCTGATGGTGGCAGGACCAATGGCAGAGCTTGTTTCTCTGGGGCCCGTACTCAAAGAGGGCAACAGGTTTTGGATACAAGTGCCTGGGAGTAGGTATCCACAGCACATGTCTTCACGCATGGAGGTGGGTGTTGAACTAAGCTGAGCCAGGAGTTTATGTATGGAAACTGGTTAGGGTTCCCAGGTTGTCCTGTGACAACTTTCCAAACAGCCTAAACTAGTGCAGGATCCAGGGAGCCCACTCTGAAGGAGGCCCAGTCCACCTCACAAAAGGTATGAAGTTTGTTCTTTGACATTTTGACTCCATAATCTTCAGGGAATCCTGAGGAGAGATTCTTCAGAATGTAAGAGCGGGGACTAGAAAGGTGGGAGGCACTGGACCCCATGGCCTCAAATTCGCAATACGAGAGAGAGAAGGGAGGCAGAGACAATAAGACACAGCCAAAAAAAGAAGAAGAAAGAAATAAAGAAGCCTGACATGGAGAAAGTGCCTACATCGTAGGGTCACCATAGATTTGCTTCTCTTTTGTCAGGACTTAGCGGGGCCAGCTCCACTTGAGGGGATGTCTGGAGCCTTGGTAACCATGCTGCTGTCTGAGGCAGCACTGGTATAGCCACTCTCTATAGACGTATAAATGCCAGAGGGCCAAGTATTTAAGAGGAGCCAGGCAGCAAAGCTGAGGAGGAAGAGGGGTTAGTATGAAGAAAGGGATTCTGAGGACAGTAGGATAATGCCTTCCCTGGACAGGATCAAAGGAATCAATCTAAAGAAGAGAGGCAGTAGGAAGGGAAAAGATGGAAAATAGTCTGGAGCCATCCACTGGTAGAAATAATCAGAAAGTGGAAGTGCCTAAGGATCCCTGTAGCATATTTGACTCTAGGCAGGTCAGGGGTTAGGGGAACTGGGAAGGTCAAAAGATGACAGAATAAGTGGACAATAAGCCGGGACCCAAAGTCCAGGTGAACCAAGAGGGAGGAGGAACTCCTGAAATGCCAGTTAGGGGGCTGACAGGCTGGAAATGGTGACCACAGTGGCCTGGAAGGACAGCACCATAATGAATCAGCTGTGGAACAGAATTTCAAATCACAGTATGGGCACTGAGAGGCAGAATAAGACAGGTGGCAGATAGGAGCCCTACCCTCAGAAGTAAGATATGTGAGGGAAAGGTAAAGGAAATAGTTGCCATAATAATCCAAGTTGCTGAGGGCAGAATGTCCATCCCAACATTCAACTACAGAACAAAAGTGTGAACCTAGCCTGCCTCAGCCAACATCCAACTTTAACAGGGGATCTAGGCAGCGCCTTTGTCAGGATCAATGCTTTCAGACAGAAAGGATCCTTCCCTCAGAAATAGACAGGGCAGACTTGCAATTGTGTTCGAGGGGTGACCGGAATGTCTCTGTGATCCCCTCAGTGACAGTGCCAAGATCAGATCATAGGGCCCTGGAACATCTCCCTTATAATCTGCTACTGAAGACAGGAGGGACCACAGCGAGGCTGGTCCACCTGAAGTGGTGATCTCGCTGAGGTGTCCAACTGTTATACTGAAGTGCTAGAGATTATAGAGAATCACCACACTCTGAGCCAAGTTTTGAGTCCTTTTTATTGTCAGCCAGTGGTCAAGAGCAAGATCTCACTCAGAAAACTCTTGATATAGATTCTGAAGATGAAGGAAACAGATTATGTTATAAACTCAGGAGAAGAGGTGACTGACTTCCCACTGCCATGCCCAAGGATATGACAGCCCCACCCCCTGCTTAGCCAGGGTCACGACCAGAGGTAAAACGCTGTCCACAGGAATAGCCATTATAGATAACTTTGACACAGGCAGGAAAGGCTGTTATGTCCCAGCCCTGGTAGGTTGAGGAACACCTGCTACCACCCTATCTTGGCCCCTAGACTCCTAGAGGTAACACATCCTCTGACCGATGCCTGGCAACCACCTAGCAGCCACTTCTCTACTTAAGTCTGTGCTCTCCTCCCACTCTACACGGGTTCCTGCTTGGAGTCAGCCTGCTTGTTGTGTCTGAGTGAATTAAACAGCTTCATGCGTTCATCCAAGGCAAGCCCAGGTGGTTTCTCTGCTCTCCAGGTCTCCACTACACCCACCCTGAGCCCACTTCTATAATCACTTTTGTTTTTAAGTGTAGTACTGGAGATCAGGCCCGGGGCCTCTTGAATGGTAGGTGAGTGCTCAACCATTCAGCTACACCACCAGCCCCTGTGGTCACAATTTTATGTTATATTTTCCTTTGCAAAAGAGCATTTATTTATCTGCTTTTAACTCTAGGGTGACTTTTCATCCCACCTTCTCTAGTACTTCATGCCGTGGGTGAGAATGGCCTTTGTGTTGAGGAAGGGGATACTCACCAGGCTTGGTCTAAGAGGTCCCAGCTTGCAGGCTCATTGACTGTGGTCACAGAAAAGAATTTTCATATGAACCTGAACATAAAAGCTTAGTAGGACAGTTTAAGGAAAAGTCCAAAACACATCTTCTCATGAGTTCTGACCTTTTCCCACGTTGTTTCAGCCTTATAAAAATATCAATACTCCTGGTTAAGTGGCCTTACCTAAGTCTTTTAATGGGATAGACCATTCTAGACCAAGAGGCCCTCCACTTCATTTTTTTTTTTTTTGACACAGGGTCTCACTATATAGTTGAGACTGATCTGGAACTCACTAAGCTGTTGAGTAGGCTGGTCTCAAATTCACAGCGATCCTCCTGACCCAGCCTCCTGAGAGCTGGGATTACAGGCGTGCACCACCACACCTGACAAGAGGCCCTCCACTTCAAAAGAATAGGGAACCTTTCTTCTGATCCCAGAATAGTTCCAGTTTATTCATTCTCTGTTATTCCATTTAAACCCCATATCTGAGAGTTGCTGCTCAGTCATTTTGGAGCCAGTGGCCTCTCTCGGGTCTTTATCTTAAATACACTGTCCTTGCTGAAAGTTTTATCGCTCTTCTCTTTATTTCTTACATCCAGTAATACATTCAGCCCCTTAAATTGCACATCTTTGTGCAGGCAGAAGTCCAAATTCCTGCCTTTATATGCAGGAGCATCTTCAAGTCTTCTACCTGTTCACTCAGATGCCAGGCACCTGCATAGGATTCTCTCAAAATATCTGGTATTTTGGGGAAGCAGAGGAAACCACACATGCTTGAGCTGCCCTGTGCCACAGCTCTGACTGGTGTCCTCGGGACAAAATCAGCATGGTGAGTAAACAGGGCTGGAGTTTGGTCAAAGTTGCAGCATAGCCTATCTGAGTGAGATGGAGTATTGCCTCCCCAAAATCCCAGCTGGTCCTGTCCAGGGATCCTGGGGAGCTTGCTGGTGCACTCTGTCTCTGTCTCTGTCTCTGTCTCTGTCTCTGTCTCTGTCTCTGTCTCTCTCTCTCTCTCTCTCTCTCTCTCTCTCTCTCTCTCTCTCTCTCTACTCTGAGCCTCTAAAGTTTATAGTCTGCTCTACAGAGCTCTCAGATACCTTTGCCCTCCTTCTGAGACCCTGCAGGAACATTTTCCATGGGAATTCAATCTGGAATTTTCCTCATAGGGACAGGATGTGACGGAGACTTCCTCGTTTTGTTCTATCTATCTCGGTGTTTATAGCAAAGGGCAGAGCCAACAGCATATGTCCTAAGGTAGAAGGTGGGAAATAATTCTGTCAGAAATGATCTGTCTCCCCGAACTCAGCTGCCAGCCCATGTCTAACAGCCTTAGCATCAAGAACTAAGATATTTCATAATAATCGTTATAATTTTGCACAGGAGGTGAGATCATCTGCACTCATCTGTTTTTTGGACCTTTTAATGCTACCTGAAAGGTATGTGATTTATCCTCCACACTTGGTTCAGCCTCCCTCTTTTAGAAATGGAGAGCAGGAAATGGTAGTGGGAAAAGCTTTTCAGTGTGGTTGAGACGAGATCCCCTTAGGCAGACACCCCCAAGGAGGCAGGTTTCGGAGGTGACCAATTTCCCTCTTAAATGAGGCCCTTTTCTTTCTCCCCTCTCCCTCCCCTTTTTGATTTCTCTCTCCCTCCCTCGCCCTTTTCCCCCTCTCCTTCTTCTTCTAGTCTTCCTTCTCCTCCTTCTTCTTATCTCTTCTCATTTTTCGTGGTACTGCAAATTAAACCCAGGGCCTGTACATCCCCAGGTATGTATGAATGAACCAATGAATGAGTGAATTTGATTTTGTGACAAGATCTCCAAATTTTAAGCTACTCATGCTGGGTTTGAATTTGTGATCCTCCTGACTTGGCTTGGTTGTGTCACCACACCCAGTCAAGGTTTCTTTCGGAGGTGATTCATCTCCCTTAGAGACCAAGAGGATGGAAATCCTTTCATGGGTCTGTTGAAATCAAATCAATGCATACCTGTGGGCAATAACTAGTGACTGCTGGGGACAAAGCATTATGGTAGGTGCCGGAGGGGTGAAACATGAGAAAGCATAAAGCTTCATCTTTATACTTTTCTTTTGGCAAAGAACATGAGAATACAAGAGAGACAAGACGCACCACTTACACAGTTTGCAAAAGTAGCAAAGCAAACAAAATACAACAAGACTCAAGAAGAGAGGGACTGGAAGTTGAAAGAACACTGGTGTTTAGGAATTAGAGACCAAGAGAAAGCAAGCATGGGGTTGGGAGCAAGGACAGTGAGAAGGGAAAGGAAGAAAGAGGAACAGGGAAGAGAGGACCGGCCTTGTGTGGGAGGAGGCTGGCAGATTTCCTCAGCACCAGTGTGCAGGAGCGCTGCTCCCTTTTATCTCCAGTCTGAAGCAATCCAGAGGCTCCCAAGACAGCAGAGGGTATGCACCCCACCAGCACGGCGTAGCTCAGTCTGAGGCCCCTTCCTGGCCATGTTTCCCTTCACTTGATTCTTTGTCTTCCCCAAACAGCCAACATGTCCATCCTCTCCTATTCTTTCCCTCATCACGACCAGAAACTGAAATCCATTTCAGTCATGGTGCACAGAGGTGGAATTGGAAAGCGTTCCCTCCAGAAGTGCACACCCCTCAGTCAGAGTTAGAGCCTGACACCGCAGCATGAGGTCAGAAAGGGCAGGCATCAGGTAGCAAGTAGGAAGGAGGCTGTTGTTTCAGGGGTGAGTGCTGCTTGGGGACCCTCCAAAGACACTGACTTCCCTTCAGGAAACTGTCAGACCACTTTCCTCCAAAGTAAAGGCTTTCAAGGCCATGTCTTTTAGTGTTGAACAAAGGGACTCAGCACAGGTGCCTCCTGTCTATGCAGATATTTTTGACAAAATCTCAGGGAGCCACTGGCATATTTTATCTGACAGTAGTGATATAGGAGATGAAATATGAAAACATTATATCTCCTAATCTGTTAAATGTCTGATACTCCAATTTTGAGTTCTAGAAACAACAGAGGTTGAATAGAGAAATATTTATTGAGAGGATTCTGCTGAGAGGTGAGAAAGAATCAGAATGAGAACCCAGGGGCTCCACTATAAAGTTCTATAGGGCACAATTGTGTGAGTACAATGTGGATTAATGCTATTATAGCATTAATACTACACAGTTGCTTGGGCAATAGTGATCCAATGGGAAAGCAAGTCACATAGCAAGTGTATAAGGCATGAACAAAGAACTTCTCATGAGAGTTGAATCACTCATTGAGGTGACTGATGCCTACCTAGATTTTACTAGACCAGGTGTTCTCACTTATCTTATCTCTTGAGGGAATATGTAGGTCTGGTTCTTTTGTGGATATCTTGAGGCTTGGCCCCCAATTCATGTGTCTCTGGCCCAGTTGTAGTGTGTTTTCACCTTTTGTCCTGACTCTCAAGGGCTCAGCCCTGTCCAACTGCCTATTGTAATTTTTTCTTTTTTTATCTAACTTAGCTGTCTATGTCTTAAACTTTGCATTTACTGTTTGGTTGTTTGGTTGGTTGGTTGGTTGGTTGTTAGTTTTTTGTGGCTGACACCTTATGACCCTATCTCTTCTTTAGTGCACAAGATGACTATTCAGGGTGTGTGCTGCAATTTGTGGCTTGGAGGTTTCTAAGGGCAGTCATGGTCTCAGGCTGCAGGTGTGACCAAAGAGGGTTCCCAGACCTGATGTACAGAGCAGTTGGCGAGAATCTGTGTTGAAAGAAATACAGAACAAGGCTCTGGAAGCAGACAGCTCAGGAGAAACTCTCACTTTGCCACCTACTAGCTGTGTGTGCAGGGGGAAGGCCCTCAGCCTCTGTGCCTGTTTCCTTATTTATAATTTGGATTTATTAGCAACATAGTAATAATATTTGTGGTACAGGTAAATGCTCAGTAGGTAGGTAAGTGCTCAGTTTGAGTCGGCTTGTGTTAGTGTGACACATTCACCTTTGTGTGCACATACATCTGTACTTACAACTTCCTCTACCACAGCCTCTGCGATGGAAATCACATGGGTGTATCTCAACAAGAACTGGGGTTCCTCTAGCTAGTCCACAATTCGTGAGCACACTGCCCCAGTCCCTTAGACCCCTGATACATGTAGCCTCCCTAACTCAGGTAATTAGAGCAGGTGAGGCTGCTCATTCTGTGAGGCTGCTCATTCTGTGAGGCTGCTCATTCTGTGAGGCTGCCGTGCCCCTAGCTCTGGGGTCAGTCTAATGCCCCATCACCTCTCTGTAGGAGAACCCATGTCAACTCACCACCTGATACAATCCTTGACTCTCTCCTTAGAATCTAGCCCATCAAAAAGGATCTCTACGTAGTCTAGGCCCCTACTGCTTTGCAAGGTATTAGCTGGATGCTGATATGTCCCTCATGGCTCTGCCCTCATGGAACCCTAATCTGTGTGTACCGTCCGGACAAGAGACAAAAGCACAAAATGGAAGAAGGGACTAAAGAGGAGAAGAAAATACAAAAACCAGTATAGATTCTGCTAGCACATTCAAGATCCTTTCTACATTCAAGGTCTGTCATAGACACATTCCTGCTATCAGCCACAGAGGACAAGAGGTCAGACTGTCCAAACAGAGCCTTGATCCCTGTCCAAGATGTTGGTGTCAGTTATTGAGTGAATAATGATTTCCATAACCCAGCCATCAAAACAGCCAGGTCCCTCCAGAGAGGACTCCGACCTCTTCTTTAAGGAATCCATCTAATGCATAAACACAGGCACCTCAACTTGCTCCTCTGCCTTCCTCCTACACCCCAAGTGCCTAAGGCCACCATTTCCCTAACCCACTTATCTCTCAGGCCAGTGCTCTCCCTCCAATTGTATTCCTGTTAGCCAGAGTCTTTACCAACTCAGAGAACCCTTTTAATGTCCCCATTCTCATAGCTCTGATTGTTGCATGACCCACTGGCTTCTAACTTCCTTGACATTAATATTGCTGATGGTATGGCTAGGGCTGCGCTCTGACGGGACGCAAGCACTTGTGCCACGCCAAGGGTTTGCAGCAGGAAAACCAAGAGGGGAAAGTGGTGACAGGAAAAGTACCAATAAACTCAATGAAAATAAAAAGAATGCAGAAAAGGAAACTGAGGGAGTAGAGAATAGAAACACATTGTGGACCTTCTCTTGAGTGATGGGGTGAGGGGGAGAGAAGTGTCTTTGGAAGATGGAGAATGGGTATATGGAAGGTAGAGGGAGAAGGAGGCACTACTTTTATTCAAAAAGCATCTAGTTAAGCTGTGGGAGGCTTAACTACCTTCCAACTTGGCACTGATTTCTTCCATTGTTAAACAAAGAGGCTAAAGTTCATCCAGTTAAAAAAATTTACCCAACATCTCACAACTTAAATGGATGGAAATATGGAGAGTCTTGTATGAATCCTAGTATTCATAGGCCGCCACATCATGTTTTCTGGCCCCCGGATTGTGAGATATTGCCATAAGGCCCAAGGGGACATTAGAGAGGAGAATCCTTACGTGGGCCACAGCAGAGTGTCCAAGGATGGAGAATGGGTGGCTAGATGGGATGACTGCATCGTTGGGTCTGCTACAAACATGGGAAAGTGGCCAGGTCACCCACTTGGAAGCAACTCCTAAGGCCAGAGGCCTGGATAAGTGGCGTCCCAGGAGCTGCTGGAGTTGGCAGACAGCCACCAGGCACACACTTCATTTTGGAAGCAACAGAGCTCTGTTTGTTCCTCTCTTTTGTGAACATGATGTTCTAGGACAAAGAGGAGTTACAGCAAGTTTGGATCAGTAGTGGGGAGAAAGGTATATTCTGCAGAAGTTTCTTTTTGTTAAGAGAATGTCCCTAATTCCAGAGGTGGTTGGTGCTGAGCCATGACACAATTTATGGCTCTATTCCTGGATATAAACAATATGCCTTTCTCTGGTGTGAAAAACTATAATAGTACATAAGATCCTAGTGAGATAATTGACAATGTGAAATAGGAAGAAAGGGGCTAAAGGTGTAGGGAAAGTGGGAAGGGTAGGGGAAAGGTAATAAGGGAAAAGAAAAAATATGAGAAAATGAAAAAATGGAAATAAAGTGTTTGTAAATGGGAAGGGGATGAGGGGTGAAGGGAGGGCAGGGACAAGGGGAAAAAATGAGCACCAAGACCTGTCATGTAAAGGTACAAGATCCCAGTGATGAATGTAACTGTACCGTATACCTAAAATGTACCAATAAACTCAATTTAAAAGAAAAAACAATATGCAGCTCAGAGCCCCCTTTCTCTGGGGTCCTCCAGTTGCATCCACCTGCAACTTCATGAGTTTAAATAAGGCCAAAGAGGCTATTAACAGTGTTGCCTGGTAAAATTAGAAGCAGCTCACAGCATAAAAGGAGGCAGGTCCTGGGAACTCAAGAATCAGAAAAACGTAACAAGGTCTGATGGGCTAATTTCAGATGCCCTGTCATGCACCATCTCTTTGTCCCCCTCCAGGTGGCTCTCACTGCTTAGAACAGATGGCAAACTTCTTAGTATCCATGGAATGTTTGAAGCGAGTACCTCTGACCAGCAGTCTCCTGATCCTCACCCACCTCCTCCTCTACCTGCAGCTTGGAAAGGCAGACTCAGGTAGCACATCCTACCTCAATCATCTGCAGTCCACCCATTCAGGACTGAGCATCCCTCCCCATGCACCTCTTACTCCCTAAAGGCTGAGATATGACGACAGTGCACTGTGCCTTGTCAGTTGCTAAAATTCACAGATTTCCATCCCAGTAGTTTAAAAGCCAAGGCTATGCAGTCCTTCCTGTCCATCCATCATTTTGCCAGCCTCATCACACTTTCCAGGATCTTGAAGTCCACGGGTATAGCACAGGAAACTCCTCTTAGTCTGTGTTTGCACTGAGCCAGGTGGCAAATATTTCAGTGTAACATTTCTTCAGAGTCAAGATGAACATTCTCCAGGAAGATGACTGGTGGAGGATAAACTGAAACAGGGTGTATCCAGGGAGAGAGCCGGACATCACATGTGTGGGAAAGACCGCTGGAGAGACCCGGGAAGGGAACATGGTAGGAAGGTGTTGAGGATTCACCTAATTTGTAACAAATCTCAAATGGCACAAAGAAGGACACAACTCTATGATCTGTAGGCAAAGTGAAGGCACCTAAGGTGGTTGAGCTGCGGGAGGAGGTACTAGTCGAGCCTGAGCAGAAGGAAGCACACTAGTTTGGAGAGAATAGAGGGGCCACATGGAGGTACCATGGAAGGAAAGAATGACCAAATGAAAGATCAAGACCAACCGGAATTTGGTTGGTCTCTACCTATGAAAACCCATGGAGCAAGGAGCATATATGTTATTATTTTTTTTTGGCCTTTATAGGGCGTATATATATGTATTATCATAAAAATTGGAGGGCTGGGAATTTAGCTTAGTGGCACACTGCCTGCCTGGCACTGTGAGGTCCTGAGTTTGATCTCTGTACCAAAAAAAAAAAAAAAAAAAAAAAAAAAAAATTGGAAAAGAAAAGAAACAAAAATAAGAAAAACCTATCCCCATCATGCAGAAATTCCCACCATCAACACTTTGTTTTCTCTCCTTTTAGACCTTTTCCTTGAGCATCTATGCAAATAGGTAATTTTTTTGCTCAATGGCATAGTGTACATTTTATTTTTGAGATTTGGTCTTTTTGGTGAATGATTGTACTCATTTCTTTAGCCATAACTGTCCACAGAAGAACTCTGGCACTGTGGTTGATTCAAAATAATAATCATTCTAGGACCACAGACTATCCACTGGCTGTCATGTCCCATGTGTGTTTTAATCTATTTTTCATGGTATCTTTTTTTCAAGAAACCAGGCCAGTTTTCCTTGCAGAGTGTGTTATCTTCATCATTCGAATGATTTATTGTAGATTTTTGACCTGTAAAAAGGTATGATAAAAAATGATATTTGAAAGTATATTGATTATGGCTGTGGTTCTGGCTTTGTCATACTAGAAGTCAAAGTGATAGGGCCTGGGGAGTCTGTGCTGGCCCTTGTTGGAGAAGAGGTGGAGTTCTCATGCCACTTGTCACAGTACATGGACGTGGAACACATGGAGATCCGCTGGTTCTGGGGCCTGGCCTCGGATGTGGTACATCTATACCAGGATGGGCAGGAGCTCTTCGGAGAGCAGATGGTGCAGTTCAAGAACAGGACCAAACTCTTCAGAGATGAAATGGCCACTGGAAGCGTGATCCTACGGCTGCATAATGTGGTACCCTCTGACCAGGGTCTATATAGCTGTCGCTTCCTCTCCAGTAACTTCTCTGGTGAGGCCATCTGGGAGCTGGAGGTAGCAGGTAAGTGCCTAGCTGAGTCAGCAAGGTCAAGAAAAAGGATCAGTTTCTTAAGAGCTGCTTTTCTCAGGTATAGAATCATGCGAAATATCCTTAATTTTACATAAGGCCATTAAAAAATGAAAGTATTGGGCCAGCTGCAATAGAACAGAACAGAACAAAGAGTTCACACACACTGTAACTCTTAAACATGAAGATAATTATTATGTATAATGAGAGAAAGGCAAATTAAATCTACTTCAAAATGTAAATTTTTACCTTTCAAACTGGATAAAATTCAAAAGTTCCATGACACTCTTTTGGTGGCTCTTGGGAAAGTGGTTTTCTCCTATCTAGTTAGTGGACTTCAGTCAGGAAGCACTAGGCCATGGGGCCTAACAGAATTCTCTGTCTACCTTCCTTGGATACAAAAATCCCACCTCTAGGAATTTACCTTCAAGATATACCTCTATAGCTTCCATCATGTAGCAGTCTAATCTGTGTAGTGGTACTTCTAATTGCAAGTGAGTGGGAATTGTCCAAGCATAGGACCTCTATATGGTCCAGCCACATAATGAATATTGGAAATAAGCCTGCAGACACAAATTGTTGGTGCACATAAGAAAGCACTTAGACATCAAGAAATTTCAATGAGATATTTTATTTCTGCAGAGGTTATAAGCCTGAGGTAGCAGGCACATAGGACAAAGGAGGGTCGCCACTTTTATCCCTAAAGCAGGAGTAGCAGCTGACTTTTAAATTCATTGGCTGAATTCAAAGTCTTACAATACTTCCTCTCTAACTCAAATGGTGCAAGGTAGGGTGGGGTGGGGGTTGGTGTGTTGTTGAGTAAATTAGAGAGAGGGCGTGGGGCTTGTACAAGTCTTGAAAATCTTGAAAATTTGGACAAATCTTGAAAACCAGCTGTGTTCTGGAAAACGTACATAGTTACTATCTCTTGAATCTCAGGGTATCAATGGGTATGGCTTGGAAGTGGATAGTGGGTAGATGGCCAGGTCATTTAAAGCCCAAATTTTGTAGCTTTGGCCTTGTGCTTTGACAGAAATGACAAAGCCTGTTTCTTACATGAGTTTTTCGTACTCTGCAGCTGGAAAGTGAAAAGTATTTCAGTGAATACCTGTGGAGCGATTCCTAAAATGTATTCCTAAAAAAACAAAATCAAGACACATAAGAGATTTGGTAATGTGTTACATTTTTGCGTGTGGGGAAGAAAGAACATTGAAAAAGGTAGCAAGTAAAAATATACTAGAAACTAATAAAATTGATGACTTAAGGATGAGGGGATTTAGGAGAATAAAAAAGGATGCAGAAAGCTAGAGACACATATTTTATATAGCATTGACTTTTTTAACCCAGGGCTTTCACATTAATTTATATCCACAGCCCCCCCTCCCCTTTGAGACAAGGGCTTGTTAAGTCACTAAGTTGCCTTGGCTGGGCTTGAAATTGGGATCCTTCTGCCTTGACCTCCCAGAATGGTGGGATTACAGGAATGTGCCACCACACTTGGCTCAGGATTGACATTTAGATGATATTAATGGTTTGCATATTCAAAACACACGACTGTGGATGTAGCTCAGTGGTAGAGTACTTGCCTAGCATATGCAAGGCCTAGGTTTAATTCTTGGCTGTGCAAAAAATATAGATAGATAGGATAGATAGATAGATGATAGGCAGACAACCAATGAGTAAGTGAGCTACATGAGAAAGGGGGAGACAAAGAAGGACATATAAAATACAAGAATTTTAGCTTTAGTGAGATTCAAGAAAGAGAGGCAACCTATTGATTTGGGATGAGATAATTCTTTCTAGGGAATTGTCCCTTGTATAACTAAATGCCAGTATTCTTCCCCAAATAACTTCATCTCCATATTTCCAAATGTCCCCACAAGGTGATATAGCACTCTCTTATCAATACATGCCACCACAACCTAGAAAATAATTTGCAATTGGTTGGGGGAGATACTGTAAGACCACACATATTAAGCACAGACGCGGTTCCTGATGTCTCATGGTGACTGCGAATGGTGAAAATTATGTTGTAGACATCATGTACAACTTCTGGGAAGGAGTCTGAGCTTTCTCACTCTTTATGCATCTCCCAGGACTGGGTTCAGACCCTCACATCTCCCTTGAAGGCTTCAAGGAAGGAGGCATTCAGCTGAGATGTAGCTCCAGTGGCTGGTACCCAAAGCCTCAAGTTCAGTGGAGAGGCCATCAGGGTCAGTGCTTACCTCCAGAGACTGAAGCCATCGTCCAGGATGTACAGGGCCTGTTCCGTCTGGAAACATCTGTGGTTGTCCAGGGGAGAGCTCACAGGAGTGTGTCCTGCTCCATCCAGAACCCCCTGCTGATCCAGAAGAAAGAGTTTGTGGTCCAGATAGCAGGTCAGTTGTATGCTCACTCACCCTTGTATTCCTAAGCATAGTGTTCTTCATGTCCCTTGACCCAAAGGTAGTCTGTATGGACATAACAGTAGTAAGGCCTGGCTGAATAAGGGATGAGTTGACCTTGATAACTGATTTTAGCAACTTGGACATCAGAAACTCACTGTGAGCACAACTGACAATCTAAGTAGTAAGTAGGCAAGGGTTCAGAGAGTCATCATTTCTGTGAGAAAAGCCATGAGGTAAAGCCCATAAACTACTAGTCAAAGAGCATTAGTAGAGGTACATGCTCCTAATTTCACCCTTCAATTATTTAATGAGCACCTACAATATGCCCCAAACTCATACCCTCATTTTCCCAGTTTTGTGGGAAAGGCAGATAAAGAATATGATTAAATCACATCATAAATAAGGAGATGGGAGATGCTAGAAAAATAGGAAAGGGGGCCAGATGTGGTGGTGGTGGGGTCTCTCTATGATCTGTAAAAAGGTAACTTGGGGAGGCAGATGTTTAGTCAATGAGTTGAAATTTAGATCATTGTTTAGTATCAAAATCTTTCAAGAGGGCCGGGGATTTAGCTCAGCGGCACAGCGTGTGTCTAGAAAGTGTAAGGTCCTGAGTTCGATACCTGGTACAACAACAACAAAACAATCTTACTAAAGCCAGGTGTGGTAGCACATGCCTGTAATCCCAGTGCTCTGGAGGCTGAGGCAGAAGGATCAGTGTGAGTTTGAGGCCAGCCTGGACTACATAGCTAGTTCAAGGCCAATCTAAACTACAAAGTGAGACCCGGTCTAAAAAAACAAACAAAAATCTTATCAGACCCCTCCTGAAGGGTTTAGTAGTGCTAGTTCCAATTGTTTTAAGTTTCTTTCTCTATACTTCTCCCCATCCCCACCCCCAGTATTGGGGATTGAACCCAGGGCCTTCATACTGAGCTACATCCCTGGCCCATTGTCTGCTTGGTTTTTTTGTTTGTTTGTTTTTTGTATTTTGTTTTTTAAATCTGAGACAGGATCTCCTTAAGTCACTAAATTCCCTGGGCTGGACTCTAACTAACAAACTTCCTGCCTCAGCTTTGTGCTAGGATTACAGGTGTGTACCAACACTCCCAGCTAATCATTTAAAATTTTGAGGGTAAATCCAAGCTATTGACCATTTTTCACATCAGTCCAAATCAATAATTATATTATTGTAGCAGAAAGAAATCTCTCTCTCTTTTTTTTTTTTTTTTTTTTTGTACTGGGAATCAAACTCAGGTCCTTGTGCTTACCAGGCAGGTGCAGTGTCTCTGAGCTACATCCCCTGCCCTCAAATCTCTTCTTTTGATATAGACAAGCAAAACAACGCACTGCATGCATGGTCTCAAGATAAGTAACTTGTCCTCAAGTAGGAGAACTTGGCAGCATCATGTGTCAGAGTTCACTTTAATTTCCCATTGAGCCAGGTATTGTCGTGCCTGTTTGTAGTCCCAGCTACTCAGGGGAAAGGCAAGAGGATCTCTTGAGCTCTTGAGTTTGAGGCTATACTGGTCAACACAGCAAGATTTATGGTTCTTGCTCTTAACCCCCACACCTGTGCTCCTGTGCTGTGCAAACCATCAATGGTGAGGGACCAATCCATCGTGTCCCGAGGCCTTTGTACAATATAACAAAAACACACTTCTAGGAAAGTAAAGTGTAAAAACAAAAGACCACAGTTGCTAAGTAGACTAAGCCAGTCAGAAAATAATAAATTCAGAATGATTCTGTGGTGGGAAAAATTACTTCCAACTTGTTAGATTTAGATGTTCCGAATTTGAGGTATTATCGAGGAATTAAGGAATTAAGTCCCCAACAGAGTCTCCAGGAGTTTGTTGGAAAGAAGGATAATAGCTCCTGGATTTCCAGGAGGGGTCCCGAGTGGGTGGCTACTGAGGCTCTTTTCATGGTGATTTATACAGCAAAATCACAATGTGATGCACAATGTGGGTCAAACTGCAATCAACCTATAGCATTACAAGTATAGTCACTTAGCTAAATATGCATCCAGTAGGGAAGTGGAGTGCGTAGCAAGGGTACATGGTGAGCACGGTTCACCATTAACTTTATTTTATACATAATCCTTAGTCATAGAAAGAAAAAAGTCATCCCTGGAAAAGGAGCTCAGTTGTTCTGGGCTCCCCCATCTACACGTCTGGTGCTATCTGGGCTCACTGAATCAGGTGGTGCTAATCACAATACAATCTCAAGCTGTTGTTTATTTCTAGGGAGGCTTGAGGACCTGGCTATTTTGTCTCCATCTCAAGGCTTGGCTCTTTTTACACTCACCTCGAGCCACAGTCGGTGTGTCTCGTCTTCTGCACTAACTCCCTCAAGGGTTTGATCCTTCCCTGACTGACTATTGATTTCTGCCTCACTTAGCTGTCTATAATAATTTGACTTGTGAGAAGTACCCAGAACAGCCAAGTCTATTAGAGACATAAAGTAAATGGTGGTTGTAGGGCGGGGGTTGGGGCTGCTGTCAGTGTTTAATGGTTTAGAGTTGCAGTTTTGGAAGACGAACGAGTCCTGGCAATGGGCGGCAGTGACAGTCGCACGAATGCTGTGAATGCAATTAATGTCACTGAAGCGCACTCCAAGAACGGTGAAGATGAGGGCTGTGTAACAGGCACTCTGGAAGGCTGAGGAGGCAGGAAGATCTCAAGTTTGAGCCCAGCATGGGCAACTTTACCAAACTTCGTCTCAAAATGAAGAAGAAGAAGAGAAAGAGGAAGGAGGAGGAGGAAAAGGAGAAGGAGGAGAAAAAGAAAATAGGTTTGTGGGCGTAACTCAATGGTACAAGCCAGTGTCTCATCTGGGTGAGAATCTGAGTTTGATGACCAGCACGGAAAAAAATTCTAAAATGATAGGTGTTTTGGTTATGTTTTGCTCAGTACATTGAAAATTGATAAAATGTGTTTTTAAAATATCCGTAGCGCCGGGGATTTAGCTCAGTGATTCTGCTACCTGCCTCCCATCTCTGACGTGGGCCACGGATTTAGCCTCTGAAGTAGAAGCAGCATTTTTGTTTTTGGAACCAGGGTTTCAGTCTGTAATTCAGATTGGCCTTGAACTTACACGGACCCTTGTACCTCACCCTGCCGAATGCAGGTCCCACCCTTGGCAGAAGCACCATTAA